ATAATGACCCATCCTGTTTTTCTCAATCCTTAATCAGTTGACAATGGCAGCCTAAAAGATTTTTCCTTTTTGTCTTGATCCTATCTGGATTTTTCTTCTGGCAACCTGATCTACTATAAATCTGTACAAATTCTGTATTTTTTACTTCAATCAGATAAGAGGAACAGATCACAAGCCACTTTATTAAGAAAGTCAGGATAATTATTCTCAGAGGATAATTATAAAGTGGGGAAACTGAAGAATGGCAACATGAAGTAACTTGACCCAGTTCTCCCAGAGAACAGTGGCAGAGTTGGAGAGAGATGACAGCTCTCACAGGCCTCAATCCTTTCATCCTCCATCCCTGAGCTATCCTTTATGTCCATAATGAGGCAGCTCAGGGATGTTGCAGCATCAGCCACGGTTGTGAGATAAATCCGTAATCAAATGAAGAGAACCCTCACGTGGGCACTGAGAGGGGATGAATCCAATACTGCCAGACTGACAGCTTTTTGGAGCCCACAGGTGAGCAGGGGCAGTGGGTACCACTGCCACGAATATTCCTCGCTACCGCCGCACACCACTGATAGAAAACTCATTCCTTACAAATCAAGACCTGTAAATAACAATGAGGAGACAGGGGTAAGTAATTCTTCCACTCTGCCAAGAACCACCTGCAATTTGATGCACTGACACACCTGAAAGCTGTTTCCTATTTTACAGGGAGACAGTTGGAAAAGCCTCAGAGTAATTTTTCTCTGCTCTAACTTGCACGTTACAAAGAGGAATGAGGATATTACGCAGCATTGCAGAATCAATAGTTATTGTGGAAATTATTGGTTTGATGTCAAGGCCAATTAGCTGCAAGTGGAATTAGCACATACCCTGTGCGGGAAGACAAGTACATGTTCTTCCCTAGATGGGAAAGATGTTGGCTATGAAGGGCCTCCACAGAAGTGTACGCAGAAACTTAGTAATTAGCATCAGATTTCCCAATGCTGAAAAACCTAACACCAGCTTCTTCTCATGGCACATAAGAGTCTGCATCAAAGACCTGATCTGTCCTGCACATGGGGCAAACTGAGAGTGGACAAACTTGCAGACCAGATTGACCCTTGGCATCTGGATTTTACATCTAAGAAAGGCTACACTTGGCCAACCCAACTACTCATCCCATGGCCAACCCAACTACTCATCCCATGTGAGAGAACCATGCTGGCTGAGTTCAACTCAAAACACCATCTTATCCCTACAACTTCTCACTATTGCCCTGACTTGTGCCAACAGAAATTCTATTCTATGTTGCAGCTAGGATTTATTGCATTTCATGGACTAATCTATATTATGCCTGGTTTGGCTACTGAGAAAGACGTCAACGCTGGAGTTCTGCTGTCTGCTGGAGGATTAAGTGTTTTAGAGAAGATAAGTATAGATGCAGGAATGAGGAACATGCAAAGTTTGTCATACTAAAGGAAACTGGCTGCACAAATTTTATTAGAAATCCAAAAGAAGGGAGACAAAGGAGCTAACTTTCAGGGCCTCCATGCAAGGTGGTGTAAAACTGAATGTTTTTGCAGCAGCTTAATCCACACTTTGAATCTCACCCTGGAAGCAGCCAACACTGAAGATGACCCTGCAGAGGCCAGGAAGGTGAGAACCCAGGGAGGGAGGCAGCCAACTCTCCACACATATCCCTTCTGCTTCTCCTCGGGACCTCGACTCGCCTGCCAAGCCAACCACCCCCACCCTGCCTTCACAAAACCAGTTCCTCAGTTCAGCAGGGAGCTGGCACCAGTCACCGCCGTCACTGAGCAACACGGCACAAACATCACCACAGAGAAAAGGCTCCTGCGATGCTGCCGGCTGCAGTCAGCTTCCTGTACCCAGCTGGAGGCTGCCTGCCCTGCAGAAGACCTGTCCACCCCTACCTACTGCTGAAACCTCTGCAGCAGCAGCTCAAACAATTCTTTCCCTAAAAGGCTTTCAGGGCCAAAGGGGAATTTTTACTTCTGGCTTATTAAAGCAAGTAAGATGCACCGAGTTGCTCTGCAGCCTGCGATCTGCATGTGATTGCTGAAGTCCCATTGAAATACAATAAACAGTACAGCAAACCTTGGCTCATGTGTCATTTTTTGTGCCAGGTGGTGGCACTCGGTTGGCAGCAGACCTTAAAAATGTTCATGTAAACTGCACTGACCCCTGAAATAAGGAGAGCTGCCCCGATGAACACTCATGCACCAGAGGTGACATCTGCCAGTCGGGAACAGCATTTAGGTGAGGATGGAGGGATACAGCAGGATCCCTTGGACCTACAGAATGGTATGCAAAATGCCTTCACTGGGATAACTTGGATAACAAATAACGTCATTTCCATGTATTCAGCAGCATGCTGTGAAATGCATCTGCAACAACTCCTCGGGATAGTTCATGTGTTATTATTTTATTCTCAAATCAGCTCTGTATCCGTTTTGCTGAAGTAAGACACCATTGTTGTAATGGAAATGGAAAAACTCTACTCATGGCTGTACAAACACAGAGACAACTCAACTAGGGTGATCACCCAGGTCCCGAGCTTCAAGACTCTCACAACTGAAATCTGTGGAAATCCCATCGCACCAACAATCAGCAGCTACAGTAAAACCCTGACGCCTTTGTGCTTCATGCTTTTGCAAAAACAGCCTTAGACTGTTTGTAGGGAGGTTCCGAAGCTGTGGCTAATACTGACGTGAACGTACTAACGGTGCCATCCAGAGGTACTCGGGTGTAGCACACAGCTCTGTGTCAGCAAGGACTACCATACAAGTGAGAGAGGACCTATGCATAACCTTATATATCAGACTTCAAACTAAACCTGCCATAAAATAATTATATTTTCTGCTATTTTTAATTTATCTTGCCCATCAGCTTTGATTCACTTGTTTTTTTCTGACTCTCTCAATACCCACTGTGTGTTTTGATTTTCCATGTATACTAAATCAGTCATTCTTAAAAATATATACATCTCTGATCTCTCTTGGCAAACAAGAGCTATTTCGTTTTACTCACAATTGCTAACAACAGGACTGGCACCACATGCTCAGTTTAGAGACAGGCTCATCTGTATTTCACTGCCATACAATAGTACATGATTTCAGATAACAGCAACCACACACTGAAACAGGAAACATAACAGTGGAAAACAATCTTTCTTCCCTATCTAGAACAGCTGATGACTCCCCTTCAGCTGTGAAATCATGACTCAAGCTTGATACAAGAAAATGTTTTCCCAGCATATGATTATACATATTTATATGTGTGCGTGTGTATATACAGTTTATGTCAGTTGCCTGAACAGTTTTAATGCAGCATCACCTGTGGCTTATTTTATGATGGGCAAAGCATGTCATAGGAGATATTTGGTCAGTAGCAAAGGTTTAATTTACCTCAGTGTGCAGAGATACCTCCTTCACTGACACCCGTACCTGTGTGACATTAAGATCCACAAAGTGATCCCATAAATATCAGAGCAAAACCAATCGTTGAATCCTTATCTTCTCCTTGAGGAAAATAATGGGATTACACAGAGTACAGGCAAATAATCCCAACAGCAAAAACCATATACTTGTTTTTTTAATCTTTGGGATTTTCTGAGCTTTATTCAGATAGATAACTCATTTTGAGATATACTATCTTAAAGATGCAAAAATACAGAAAATGCAACACAACTGCAACTGTGTTTTTTTCTCAGAAATCATCACTTACTGGTCCATTAGAATTAAGGCACTGAGTAATTTTATCACCTTACACAAACTAAAAGGAAAATTGAGAAACAGACTGACTCGAAAACTAATAAAATAACTTTTTGGATAGCCTATAGAAAGCACCATTCTCACTTGCTGCATACTCCCAAAATGAGTATCCTTCTTGTATAGTCTCAGTATTTGAAAATCAAGGAAAACTGTAAAAATATGAACGATGTCAAATGACAGATGGTGTTGCTGAACGATGCCTACTACAAAGAGGCATCATTATGGTTAAGATGAGATGGTTACGAGGAGATTTTGAGGGTTATGGAATTCAAACGTTAAATGTAGGGACTGATGTCTGCACCACATTTGGAGTTACCTTGAACCTAACCTGGCCTGAGCATCAGATGATGGCTTCATTTTCCACCAGACAGCCCTGGATCATGCCCTGTTTCTAACTGCACTCAGGTCTCTTGAGCTCTTGGGTCAGTGAAAGCACAGGATCATGGAAACACCTGCATAGAGAAGGGCTTGAGAGGTCATTCAAAAGAGATGAGTGAGCCTGCAGAAGCCTGCACTCTGGAAAGACGAGAAGGGGAGAAACAACTATTGCATTCCAGACATCTGAGTGCTGAATACATGTCTGGAGAAAATAGCAGACATATGGAGTCCTTCATAAAGCTGTGAGATATGACCCACAGAGATCGCTGAGTCGTCAGTCTAATTTTATAATCTTAACCCTGCTAGAAGTTTCAGACACGTCTTATATCAAGTGTACAACACTTTCACACAGCAGCAAGAAAAATAAGCAAAACCCAAGACACAGAGCAGTTCTACGCGCTGTGATGAAAAAAATTGTAGCAGCAATTTAACAGAAAATATTTCTTTAAAAGATTGAAGACAATGTCTTCCCCTTCCTATCACTTTCATACACACAGCATTTCTCCAAACTGTGTTTTGCAAATTAAAATGTCATCATCCACCCAAGCCTAAGTGCTGCACAAGGAGGTGTTTGTTCAGACAACAAATGCAAGTGTACATTGATAGCAAACTTGTGCCACCAACAGGAAAAGATCTGGAAAAGGCATGGAAAAAATCTGGTCTTGTGCATTTGCTCTGAATGTGCACCAGGTTCCCAACTGTAACGCCTTTTCTTTCAGAAATTATTGTGTTGTAAGCAAATTAGAGTGTGGTGTCGTTTGTCAGAAAGGTAAATACAAAAATCATTACCTACAGGTATTTCCCCACTCTCTGTGATTGCCCCCACGGAGCTCGGGGTGTGGGGTGTGCACTGACCTGTACTTCCCTGTCCGCACTTGCAGAGCTCTCATCCCACACTGCTGGGCACCTCCTACATCATTCACAATATCATCTCCAATCATGATGGCCTGTCAAAGCAATGAAATACAGAAAAACTGGTGTCAGGTGAATTTTATTTCTGCCATACCTCACACTCCTTTGACATAACAAACAGCTTGATTTGATGTTTAATACTGCCATCAGACAAATTAAACAAGATAATATTGTCATCGTATTGATTAAGTGTCATCCTACCTTGAATATAATTCATGCTATAGCTCCTCGAGCAATGTACTAGTGCAGTACACATCTGTACAACTTGTAATCAATTACAAAAATCAAAGTGATTTGGCACAGTACAAAGAAAATGTTGAATTTTATGAAGTTAGTCCTATTCTCTTCCTAATGATGCATTTATGTTATGCTCCAAGCAGTTTACATTAAGCTTAACTTTTAAAATATTTCCTTAAAGTTGATATTCTAGAAGACAGCCAAAAGCTTAAGCCTGCGATCACTGAGATGTGTAACTTCATAGAGCTTGATCCCAACCCATGCTCAGGTTGATACAGAGATGTGGAAAACCACTGCAAAATCTGATTTCTTTATTTTTGCACAAAGTTATGTGATATGTACAGGCCTAGCGTGGTTTGTGTTACAGTCAGCTTAACTCTATGCAAATACTAATAAACTCAATTGAGTAGATTACCAAAAAAATGTAACTGAGAAAAGCCCTTCTGGCTGTGCTAAGATTTGTCTGAGTGTCTGATGAATACATGTAGCATGTATGACCACTTCAGAGTTCCTATCTTTGTTAATGATCTTTGTTAAATTGAAGTGTATCAACCAAGGGGACTTTCTCATTAACAACTGCATCTTCAAAATTTCAAGTGCTTATTATCATCCTGCATTAAAAATTATTACTTTGTTCTTCAAATTTAAAAATGGTTGGGGAGGATCATTTTACAGTTTCAACAAAACCCAGCATATACACAAAACAGTAATCTTTAATTAATAAGCAAAAAATCAGCTTTCAACCTCCCAAAGGCCTTTGGGATTACTCCAAAGAGAACAGAGGCAGCACCTAAAACTGCAGAAACACACCAGCTTTGAAAATATGTAAACTAGTTAATCTATCAGATTTTAAAGTGTGCTTTTGCACCTTCTGTATCAAAGCTGAATTTTATCTAAAATACATTAACTAGCTGCATCTTTAGCCACATGATCTTCTATCTTGCTGACATAGCCTCCTGCTTCATAGACGTAACTACCAGGTTTTCACAATTCTGGCCCTTTGCAACAACAGAAATTCCTATTCCTTCCAAGTACTTTTGATTCTTTTCACACCTCCACATCAGATACACGGAGTCACTCCGCAAAGTGTTTCTTTTCTTACTAAAGAAATTGCCCTAATATTTTGTGTGGTTTGAGCTTTTTCTAGGGTCTGTCATGATGGGTCCTCATGCCACGTATGGGGCTCTGGAGGTTAAAAGGCATGTTTGCAAAGGGGACCAGGACTGCCTTAGATGGCAGGCGGGTTCCTGAGAGCAGCACCAAGGGGGGGAACTCGGCTGGGCACGCACAGAAAGCCAACCCAGCGTTTTTCCATCTGTGGAGAACTGATAAATAGGCCCTTGTCAAAGAGGTCGTGGGAATGAGGCGCACACGGCAGAAACAGGGATCAGCTTCTCCAGAAGCAGCAACCAACGGGAATGCTGAGTCTTTTCATACAGCTTTAAGGTCAAAAACATATAGAAAATCTGCGTTGCAGGCTCTGTTCCAGTTACCAGTTCTGCCAGATAGAAAATCCTCTTCTTCCTTTGCCTTCAAGTGGAAGCACCTCTTTTTTGCATAGCATGCAACCATACAAGAGCCAGTTTGTCTTCTGTGTCACCCACCCTCCAGTTCCCACTCTGTAAGCAGTCTGCTGGGCAGGACTAAACCATAAATATTAAAGAAGTCTAAAAATACTAAAGCTGTTTTTATTAAACACCTAATTACCACAGAATCTTCTCCCACTTACTACATCTCTTGTAAAGGAAATCTCAGGATATACCTAAACCTGCTGCTGAACAGAAGATTTTCTGAGACCATTCATAAACCAAACTGAGCTATGAACACATGTATCTGAAGCAGATTCAGCTGATAAAAACTAAATCCTCTTTTGAGTAAAGCACCAGGTGCGGTGTGCAAGATTATATATAGTCATTACCAGCCCAGTCTATCTTCCATGTTGTTTTTTAATACTGTTCACGTGAGGGACGATCACCACACCTCAGGTGATGGGATGTAATAGGATGCCCTCTCGAGTCAAGGTTCATTTGTCTGGTACCACGCTGAAGTAGTTTATTTTGGAACAGTTTATATATGCCCACCTTTGCTTCATTCTGCCTTAAAGAGTCACTTAGAGAGCTGTGATCAGGCTTCGAGAGCTCCTTTAAGGAGCAGAGACACATAAGGACTTGTGACAAAGGGGTCAGAGCTGGGGAAAACATGCCCAAAGGGAAGGAGCAGCAGCAGGCTTTGCGACAGGTAGCTCTGCCTTTCCAGCTCTCTGTTCACAAACCACTTCAAAGCCATGAGACAATGGAGGGCTCAGCCTTTTCCATCCTTTCATTATTGGACCATTTTCCTTATCTGCTCTGCTCATGGAAATGCGTGTGTTCCTAATAAGATACCTTCCCCTGTAGAGAGTTCACCTTTCCTTACTGCTCCTCCAAACAAGCAAAGCAGCACGAAATGGGGAGAAAATGATGGGTTAATTTTAAGTAATTAGTAAATAAAGCATGTATACACAGATGAGGAAAACAGAATAATCCCACTGTTACATGCAGAGCTGCAAAGAACCTGGCAACACTGCTCCCAGTCAACCCCTATGACCAGTTTCCCCCCCCCAAGATGCTTTGAGATATTTAATCACTCTCAACCTCTAGCTTTAATAGTTTATAATCCCCTCTTATAAAATTCCTTCCAACACCTCCTCGAGAGGACAGGAACGGTCCCACAGCGGAGACCCCAGGAGCAGATCTGCCCTCCGCCACCCGCATGTCCTTGCTCAGCCTGAACCCAGGCATGCAGGATGAGATTTCTCAAGTAAAGACAATTTCAGTCCTGGGTTCTCAAAACCCTAAAACTTAATTTCCTCTGAAAAGGGGAAAGGGCAGAGTGGGGCAGCCCACCAAGCACCCTCTTGCTCACCGGGGCTGTATTTTCTCTCATCTAGGCAAGTTTTCCTGCAAGATGCCTGGCAGCTCTGCAAGTGCAGCTGCAGATGAGCAGTGATGCCTGTCCAGGCCAGCTTGTGGCATACGCATACAAAAATGTACTCCAGCCCCCGGGGATTTCACAGATTTACTATCGGTGAAGGGCAATAATCACTAAAGGAGGAGCAATTATTCCCAAATCATTTAGGATTTAAAAAATCATTGGCAAGAAGATAGAGGTCAAAAGGTGCACTGTCAAGGGAAATAAAAAAACTCTACCTGTCAAACCTGGGTTTAACTTCCTCTCTGACTGCAATATGGTAAGAAGAGAGAGAAAGATATAAAACTGAAAGGTCACATACCCACTGAAAGCAAGAATTAAAAGATCCCCGTTCATGTTCACGTTTTACACAGGGATCACACCGTTAATCTGTTCAATTATTCCACGGAAGTTACTTCTTTTGGCTCAGTTAAAAATTTACTGAAAAGAAGGGTGAAAATGCAGGAAAGACAGTCTCTCTCATTTTAAGACAAACCATCAAAGAATTAAGATGGGTGTAATTTATATTCTCCTAAACCACATAGCTGGTGAGAGATGGGACGTGTCGTTGTACACACGCAGTGAATAAAGCACACGTCTGCAAAGCTGAGTGAAGCCACTGCTGTTGGACAGTCCCCATCAAACTCAACCCAGATCAGCAGAGATAAAGGGGGAGATGAATGTGACCTCTAAGAATTTAGGGGTGGGAAGGCACAATATAATCCCCACTGGACAAACGTCTGTGGCACAGAGCTCACCATCAAGGGTTAGCAATAATATAGGTGGTGTCTGGGCTACAGACCCAGAGTTGGTTGAAGGTGAGGACTGATTCCTCTTACCCACAGAAGTAGCCAACACTAATAAACCTTCAGAGATGCTGGTAGGGTGGTGGATGAGAACCTCATGTATCTTTTGTCTGCAAACAGAGTTTCACAATCAAAAGCACAGAAAAATGTTTGATCACAAAAGGAATTATGGAGTAAGAAAATGAGGCAGAAAGGCAACAATTTTTGTACTACCCAGCCATGCTCGTGTTGCAACGCAGTGTTCACCAGGACAAGCCCAGGTATGGTACTTTGGAGGCTGAAGTCTATGGGGGATGCAAATGAAGGGATGCACAAAAGGGACTGTGCTAACTTCAACAGAGTATTTAACACAGTGAAGGCTTCTAGAGTCTAACATACTTATGCCTAAACAGGTATTTACTATAGGCTTAATAACCTTAATCAAACTAAATGTGCCTGGGACATAAGGAAATAAAGCTTATACACAAAATCGTGATTAATCATGATTTAATACATTATTAAACCCCTTTACACAAGAAGTACGATGCATTTACTTTTCTCAAAATTCTCCTCAGCCCAACTGGCAAACTCCTAGGCTGCAGGATCCCATACTCCTGCTAACTGTGCTTCTACATCAGAACTACTAGCTGTGCAAACATCAAACACACAAAGGGCATATCACACGTGGCTTCTGATCTGGGAGAGAGTGTGCAACAAGGCAGGTGAAACAAAGAAACACATTAAACCTCTGGGGCAGATTTCCAAGGGCTGCAGGGCCAGCCAGGTTTCAGTAAGCTTTCAGCAGGACTCAAAGCTTGAAACTTCACTGAGCCACTTCACTCTTCTGTCGGAGAGGGAAAATCTTCCCTGTTGTGGCTGGTGAGCAAGGAGGGGATGCCGGCACGGTGGCAGGTCCTCCGTGCCACTCTCGGGGTGACCTCCCTCTGCTCTCACGCGCCACTAACTCCCACCTGAGACTTGCAGGTGGCAGAAATGGGAATTGGTTAACTACCAGTGGTTTATGCACTCCAGTATGACCTGCCATAACTTCCATTAAAGCAGGACAATTTGCTACAGAGAGAACTTTTTATGATTATATAAAACTACCGGAACCTTAACATTATTTAGGTTTTATTGTAAAGCTGTAAAAATCATCCACTGTTACAGCCTTAAAACATATGAATTAGGCATTTCAGTAACCTTTAAGATGTGTTATTCTTTGTCATATTACTGAATCATAAGATAGGTCTGGTTACCTCTAAGAGGTTTAAATTTCCAATCTATTAAAGTAATACCAGCAATCTGTTATTTCTAGGCCATTGAGGAAAGGTTAAAATGAAAATTGGACTTTGGGGAGTTCCTCCTATTCTAAGTGCAGGTTGAAAACATCTCAGCAGCAGAAGGCAAAGTCAGGGTCTCGGTAAGAAGCAGTTATCAAGGGAAACGACTGGTGATAACTTTATTGATTAAAGCAGCTTGAGAAATTTAAGATTTGCCACTGTCTAGAATTATTGTGGTGAAACAGCTTTATTAAAAAGGTATTTTTCATTAAAAGTCAGGTGAAAGAAAATTGTAATATGTTTTCAAAAGCACAGCTCATCTAAAAACGTTTAATGATGGTATGGATTAAATGCATTCCACAGGTGGAATAAATTATTGGCAAACATTTTATGAAAGTAAAGGCAAGTAAAACCAGTCCTTGTCATGTCATTACAAATGCAGAGAAGTACAGCTCATTCAGGAGACAGAATGAAGTGTAATACAGTGAGTGCATTACTAAGGAACTCACTGAACTGCATACACTGAGTTTTTATCATGATGTATGACTAACTAAAACAACCTACAAATCCTTCTCAAAAGAACATTAAAGTTGCAATGTCAATGTCAGTTGCAAGGTCAAGTTAGGAAAATATGTTAGAATTAAGGTAGTTTTCTGTGCTGTAACTTGTTCCTCCCTACACATGTGTAGCATGCTCCAGGTTTTAACTCCAGGAGCATGGATTATTTTTTCCATAGTCCTCGTCAAATGGTTTGGGTTGGAAAGGACCTTAAAGACCATCTAGTCCCATCCCCCTGCCATAGGCAGGGACACCTTCTACTAGCCCAGGCTGCTCAAAGCCCCGTCCAACCTGGCCTAGTCAGGGCACGGAGTGACTGGTGCCCTTATGCAGCAGTATCTACTGCACTCCTCCTTGGTTAGACATAGATTCCCTTCATCTCAAATCGCTCTGGACACAAAAACTTACACCTACAGACAAGACATATTACTACAACAAATTGATGGCATTTAACACTAGAAACTACACTGAAAAAAAAAAAATCTCTGCCAAAATATAAAGTGAGTCACTAGTAGCACTATGGCAAAGAGCAGAGAATGAATAAATAATCTCTGCTGAGGACTATTACTGCTTTTCTGTACCCAAAACAAATCCTCCCGAAGTCGATGGGAACCACTCACTGAGGCTCACCCTATGGGAGCATTTTTGCCAGCCTGGTGATGCATTAAATCAAATTTGTTTCTTGGGGCAAAGTTTTTGAGATGGGAGTTCTTGGTGTCCTGTCACTTCCCTGTAATGACACACTCCCTCGGTGCCAGGGGCTGACACAGTCGCAACACACCACTAGCTGGGAAAAACAGTATCTGAGGATGACCACACTGTCCTGATTGTGGAAAAAGACAAGCAATGCCAGTACGCAGGGTCACAAGGACAGAAAACTCAAAAAAAACATCTTGTCTCCTACTCCTGCACACCAATCGTTTCTGATCTAAGCAGAAAGGAAACACAACCCTTCGTGCATCTGGTTTACACAAACAGTATCCAAGGGCTGAGCTCTGTGGGCTCTTTTTTTTTTTTTTCTTTGTTCTTTTTTCCAGCTACTTTTTTCTTCAAACGCCACTCTGAGTCTGAAATGGATTTTTTTGGTTTGTGGGTTGGATGGAATAATTGCCGTGGCTGTACCTGGGATATTATATTCAGGCTGAGCTATCTTGTTACTGGGAAGGTATTGACAAACAAAAGGGAGTACAGAAAAGAGCACTGCAGCGTGTCGGGGTGCAGCGGGAGCAAATCACAAGGGAAGCTGCTGAGAGCTAAACACACAGTTTTAGTAAGAGACAACTACTGCAGTGATGACAAGTCTAGAGATAACTGGAGGGAGAAAACATATCCAGGAAGGCAAGCAGTTACTTTGGTTGTTACCTGGAATAAAACTAGAAATAAGGAGATGCAGTCTAAAAGGGAAGTATCCCGATGAATGTCAGGAAAAGCTGCCTGCCCACAAGACCTACTCAGCTGTGAAGACTGTTTCTAGGGTACTTACAGAAGCCCAGTTGTTTGGCTCACTGAAAACTACTCTGGACAAAACATTAATAAATGTGGAGCGGGGAACACTCCTGCACAGGGAAGGAGATGGATTAGATGGCCTACTAGGTCTTTTCCATCTCCCCACTCTATAATAAAGTAAAACCCAAGCACATACTGAATTACAGGGTCATAATTTCATCTCCAGGCTCTAGGGACCTACAAGCCACCCAAACTTCACTCCTGTTGTTTATAATCTCACCAAACCCCCCTGATGGAATTATTACGCTGTAATTCACTGCTGTCTGTGAGTCATCTCATACTCATCCTTTTGTCCTGTGTGACATAACAACAAATCAGTAAAGACAATCTGGGCACGACTACAGCGAGGGGAAAAAATGGGCTGTACTAAGTAAGCAGGGAGCATCACACATTCAGCATGTTTCTGTAAAGCGTGATGAATGCAGTAACACGGGAGGAGTTTTTGAGTCAGTCAGTGCTTCCCGTTCACCCAGATTAGAAAATATTTTACTTCTGTCTTTCCCTTTTATTAAAAAAATGTAGTCAGTGTGACACCAAAGGAAATAAGTAACATTTTGGCCGCAATTCCACCATGCTGCAACCTCCACTGCCAAGCATTGGGGCACCTCTCATCTTGTGAGGCACAACATCTTCCATAATTCCTTGGGAAACCTACCCTAAAAGGGTTTCCCTAAAAGGGAAACCTTTTATTGTTTTGTATTCTTTTCTTTAGACTCGAAATGAAGGAATTTCACAACAGAAGCACATGTTCTTTTGAACTACATGGTTTGGGAAGAAGGTGAATAAGAAAGCACAACAGAGTACAAGTAGAAGCAGAAACCACAGTAGAGAATGGAGAGATGGAAAACTCTAAGTTGGGTAGAGGTATGGAGAGCACAAGTCAGAGAAAAGACAGACACAGGAAACAAAAAGGGAAATAGCAGAGAGCCAAAAAATCCCTCTAAAAAGCAGAAAAAACTATGTCATGCCTTTCAGGAGGGTAGGAAGTACAAACAGGGCAGAAGAAATTCAACAGGTCCCCACCTGCTAGCATTTTCCTTTTGGCTGTCAGTTCTCTTCTGTCAACTCTGTATTACTTGACAGGATGGGCAAACATGGGTTTTTTCCCTCTGAAGCTTTTTTTCAACTTTTTTTTTTTTTTTAAAGTAATTCATAGGAAGATCCTGCATATAGATACTTCTCTGCACCACGTATAATACACTGGGTTTGGAAAAAAATACTTGTATAACCACTCTAAGTTTGCCATGTCCTCCTGGCCACATTCCCTTTAACCTCTTCTTTAACCTTCTGTGAAAGACAGCAAATCAGAAAAAAATATATCAGTGGGCATAACTATATAGCACAGTCAGTGGTCACAGCATCAGAAACCTTACCTGCTGTGGTGGAACTCCCATTTCTGCTAAGGCCGACTCAAAAAACGTTTTTGCTGGTTTTCCCACTACCTCAGCTTGAACATCACAAGCATACTGGAAAAAAATAAGAAAGAGATACCCATAAAAAATGCTGATCAGAAAAGGATTTGTTCAACTCCGTAACTCCAGTCAATTGTATAATTATGTGATTATTGATTTTTGCCCTTAAATAAGACAATGGATTAGAGGATGAGGTGAATAGCTAAGAATTTGGATAACAGAAGTATTTAATGTTCTCTGGCAGGACAGAAAGTCCTGAAACATCTCAAGTTACAAACCTGTAACATTCTTTATGATAAGAGCAGTCTTCAGACTCAATTCCAGAATTGCTCATTTTTGTAAGAGCGTCACTCTTAAAGAACTAGCAAATATCCTTCATGTGAAATGATGAAAAGTACTGGAGAGACTTAATAGATGTAGAAGGTTTCTTCAACCGTTTGGTCTGTTTTTAATGGTTCAAGTGACCAGTCTGAGTTGAAAAGCTTTATTCTCCTGCAACCAGGTAACAGTAATGTGCTAAAAAATTTGAATAAATATGTTTTTCCTAGCTTGTTCCTAGACAACTAGAAGCCTGACCTTATTCTGGGAGGCAAAAGCTCTCCCCAAAACTCACATGGATAGAAATGAATGTGCTGCAAGTATACATTATATCCACTATGTTCTGTGCTTGTACACTCCCCTACTTTGCTTTATTCTCTGCATTCACTCTGTATTATTTTTTTTATCTCTCTGCAAGCCTATAAAACGGACCATAATGATTCTCTCCTTCTCTCACCCTTAGGTTGGCTTATCTATTGGGTTCCAGTTCTGCACAAACTTAATCAAGCTTAAAAACAGGATTGCACTTACGCATCTTGCTGAATAAAGGCCTTTTGCTGTAAACTGTTAAGGGCAAGGTCTGTGTTAACAATGCTACACCAAACATAAAACGGGCCTTCAGCTTTCCTTGGGTATCTTGCAGATAATATGTCATGTTTTCCTTTTCTGGCTCCTTCTTTCAATGGCCTCACTTCCAATAAAGGTACTACAATGGTAAAAGTTCACATTTTAAATAAAATTTTTAAAATGAACAAAGCCAGAAAACAAATGAATCCACCCATCTTCAGAATGCAGCAAATGAGTTTCAATCGAGGGAAACTTCCTCCACCAAGGTGAGTAATTACAGAAGATGACCCATATTTATACCAGTTACTCTTTGAACAAGGTGCACAGAGCGAGTAGGCATAATGCAAGCTATAAAATACCTCTAATGCCTTCATATATGCTCCAACATCAAGTTTCAGACCATCGGTTTCTTTATAGTAGCGTCTGGAAATGAAAGTGATAAAGTTCCAATGAAATGAAAATGTTGGCAGTTAAATACAAAGAAACCACATTTTATTATTTCTGTGCCTATATAGATGTCCATATGGCTGCAACAAAAAGTCAAGTCATCAGAAACTCTGCAGCCTTAATTTAACACCAGAAATTAAGTAAAGGACAGGCTCAGTACCGTGCAATGCTTGGGGAAAAGATCTTCGACCAGATGCCCATCTGGCATCTGGGACACACCTCCACTGGTTCAAAGGGATTTCAACGAGCTTATTTCAAGGATGAACTTGGCCTGTATTTTATTGCACCAAGTACTAGCTGCTCGCAAAGGACAGCAATTACACTGCTCTTCCTTTAATCAACGACGGAGACCCCTTGCCAGATACTAGGTGACGGCTGGCACCAACCAGCAGCTCTAACACCTTCTTCAATATTTCTGGATGGGGACCCCAAAGAGTTGACCATCATCTCTTGTCACCAGCCTCTCGCATGAGGAAAGCCAGGGCACTGTTTATCGGGACTAAGAAAGCCCTCCAAGCTAAATTTTATTCCTTCTAGAAATGTTCGTGTTGCCATGAAGTTCATAAAATTAGTATCTTTGCGGCGTTTTTTCTGGAATAGCAAGTCATATTAACATAGGCCTTCCAAGCTCTCCTGATCAGAGCAAAGACAGGTTTCTAAATGACAAGCAAAAAGGTAGGATGAGCAGTCAGTTAAGATTTTATGCCTTATCCTTCTGCCATTTTCGATTATTCAGCACAGCCTCCCTTTAAAATGACCACTTGACCTTTGCTAGAACAGCCATTAACCTTCTATAGTCTAGCGTAAACAGCTTAATTTTCTGACAGTGGCATGACAGAAGAAATTACAAAGCCAATTCCCACTCTCAGCCCAAAACAGATGCTAAATGTAAATCACTCCATTTTCAGGAAGAGGGCATTCTGCTTCAGTGACTCTGACACTTTCGTTTTCTATGGAATGAACTGAAACTTCAACCAAAATCAACCTCCTTGCCCAAGGTAGGCACCTCGTTAAGGTCCACCCAATTACACTGATTCCACATGTTAAAAACGAAGCTGTTTTTTGTATATGGCCCTTTGCATCACCGAGGCTTCACTTGTTAGGTGAACAATTAATCCAATTTATAATATCTCTTCTTTGAGTCAGAGAGTTTACCTACGAGGGCAACACATTCAGAACTCAGGGTCACATTACCTAAAGGATCAATCATTAAAAAAAATACATTCATGGTGAAAACTGAGCTCAGAATATCCAAATATCTGTATTTTTAAATGAAAAATAACATTTCAAATAAATAGAAGTGGGTCTGTTTTAGAGCTGTCTACATCAGAGAATGACCAAATAAATAAATACTTTTATATACACAAGGTACAAAGGCATTTTTGCATCGATCACGTTGCAAATCTTAAGACAAAGGTTGATCCTGTATTTCATTTTGAAAGATGGCATTATGTAACAGAAGACTTGGTTATTTTATGTACATTAGCCATTCTGCTGCTGGCTCAACATTTTCTCCTTATCATTCTAACTTAGAAACACAAATGATTTTTTGCCCATGTTTTAGGATCAGAGCGTGAGTGTCAGTAAAGGCAACACAAAGGATTTAACTGCTCTTTCCCACTGATAAGTTCTACCCAGCTGGATCAAAATCCGACAAACTAAGAAGGGTCTTCATGCCCATTACAGTCTGTTGAGCCACTGAAAAAAGCTGTCACTACAGTTTCCTCAAGCTAAATATGCACAGTCTTTTTTAAGCCCATACATCACACAACAGATAAGAATAACTTCAAGGCTGTTGGGATTTGTCATTACTCAGCACTGGCATTAATAACCTCCTGTTTCAAACCTCAGAATATATCTAACTGAATTATTTTTAGGAAAACATTCAAATTCCCTGACTGGATTTTGGATTTTTCCTGCATGTGAAAACAGAAGTTAAAATTCACCTTTAATGTTCAGAGAATATTAAAAATGTCTTTACAGTCCAGCTATTTCTCAGTATATCCTTGAGGTCCCCTCTTAGGTCTTCTCAGCCACCACACTCTACTCACAACCAGAGGAACATTTACTCCATCTCTAACATAGTTTGGGTGGAGTTTGTGCGTTGCAGCTACTTTTGTGAATTGGCAGGGTTTTTACAGTAGCAAATTAAAACTCTCCTGGCTTCTTATTCCTCATGTATAACAATTCTGAAGCGACCAGGCATGAAAGTGCTCCCTTATGTAGGACATGAATCAACCTGCAGAGATGCTAAAGCCAACTTTCAGAGACAGTACCACTTTACGTACCACTTACACAGTAAGGACTCATTTATGTCACGCAGGCCATTAGCCACATCCAGCATCACATCTCAACCTCTACAAATGTGGGCAGGATTCAAACCTGGAAGAAGAAATCTGGCTGGTGGCTGAAACAGGGAATTCATGGACCATCTGATCCTCCTCACTATTTGTTACTTCAGGATGATGGAAGATCAAACCATCACGAATCCATATCAACAGCCTTTTATCCAAGCATGGCCTGCTGGATATTTTTTTATTTTGGTTTCTTTCACTATTAAAAATCATTTATTTTCAGCTCAGACAGGAACACATGGCTACAGGCAGCTGTTAAATCAACAGTTCTCATCTCAGATCTTGCAGGGGCAAAGACAAGGAGACAGGCAGTGCCTATAATCCTACTGGCCTCTTGCAATACTCATTCACTTGGGGGATCACACATATCAAAATCCAAACTCTCCATGATTTCTGCGGGGTTTTTAAGAGTCTTTCAGACTTGTTTTTAAACCAACAAAAGTCCTCATAGTGGCTTACAAAACTACAGCTATTTAACCCTCCTACCGCCACCTGCAAACGTGTGGATTGTTTCATCAAGGTCTGGCTCATTCCTGAACATTCTTGACGGGTTGAAGACAGGCACATTTGCTGTGCTTATACACCAGGGCATCTCCAGGTTTTCTAAAAGCTGCTACAAATCCTTCTCAAAAAAGCAGCTATATCTGTCACCCTCTAGCAGTTGACAAACACATCCACACAACTGCTTACTCCACTCTGTCTACAGAAAAAAGATCCCCAACAGCTGGAATTCAAGAGATGCCTCATCCAGTGCTTAATTTCATTGGGGGAAATTAAAAATTGTAAAGACTTCCAGAAGAAACAGTGCTTAACTCACCCTTTTCCAAGGGAGATCAAAACGGGCTTCTCCATCCCAATCAGAACTCGGAAAGCTTCATTAAGGTTTCCATATGTGAAGTTTTCTGCTGCATCTCCGATAACCACACAGTTGGGGTTTGTTTTATCAATCTCAGCAAATTCAGGGACAAGATCTACAGAAAGAGAAAAAAAAAATTCCACAAATCCCTTTCTATTTCAGATCCCATTGAAACTGATGGTTTTCCCACAGATTTGTGTTTCATTCATTAGACAACACATTAGAAAAAAAAAAAATCCATGCCTGAATCAAGTGTTCTTCAGACCCCTTTATTTCTGACTGGATCTTGCTATTCATCTGTCCTACAACAAAGAGCAAAATAAACCATTTCCTACCCTTGCCTTAGCTCCTGCTGCCCACGTCTCAGTGACACATTATACCCAAGCATCTAGACCTGAGGCAAACTCCTGGGTACACATGAAAATGTGTAACAGCAAGGGGAGGATCCACTTCCATTTCCTCATACCAACGTTCTACAGAAGAAAACACTTTATAAACCTCTGTAATGATAACCAAGACAACGTAATGTCCTGCACAAGACCTCACCTATCTCCTAGTCTCTGTGGTTAGGCAGCAGACTCCTCTGTGCACTTGCACAACTCTGTGCTTTCACTGTATCACTGCCATAACAGAGATCTCGCTCAAGCCAGACCACTAAGGTTCATTCCACAGTCTCACAACTAAGGAAAAAGCTGGGAGCACTTCCCCATACAACCTATGGGATTTCACTGCCCACATCTCTCTGGGTTGTCCCCCTACATGTCCCAGCAGCGTTGTCCCACCGTTGTGCACGAGCAAGTGTGGCCTCAGGCTGCGCTCCTTCAAAATGCGGCAGGCTGCTGGTGCTGGAGCAGTGACTTCAGCCACAGAGATGTCAAAGCCCATGCCCTGGAGCTTCTTCACAAAGCCCTCCCGGGTTGCTTGGGTTTCGTTAGTGCAGAACCGCAGCTTCAGACCAGATGCTTTGATCCTGTTGAGTAAAAATGGCAGAGGGGTTAACCAGACATAGAAAAGGAGCTAAGAGAATCATCTTTGCTGTTCCACCCTCAACTTGGATAATCACAATAAAAACACAATGATGAGATTCCAGAACAGGAGCAGGATCTCTTACTGTGACCAAGACACACCTAAAATATTGATTCTGGGCACTACAGGTGCAGTTTTCCTGCACAGAGTCCCTGCCACAGCATGTAACTGCCCTTCTGGAGCAGAGAGCTAAGCTGAACACAGCAGCACAAGTGATGCCCACCATCCCCAGGATACCACAGGCTCTCAGGCACACACTCCATTGACACATCAAAAAAACGCAAATCCAGTTCCTTTTCTTTAAAACGGTCCATGGATGTAGACACACATGACCTGAAGGCACTGCACAGCTGTGAGTCCAGCAGCTGGTATGACACCACTGACTATTAGCATTTTAACTTGGATTTTCACCTTTCCACTTACTGATGACCTGCTGCAGTGATCAGCTGGGGGTAACAACAAGACTTTGCATTTGTGCAGACTCCACGTAAGAGGCCAGCTAGTTACAACGATGTTTCTATCAACACCAGGGTGGCTTCAGTTGCATTTATCACTTAATCTCTTATAAAACACCTGCACTGTTACTTGGTGGGTAATCTTGAAAAATATGATACTTCAACTGATTCATTACTAAGTGTTTATGGGTAAATGGTTTCTCAAGGGAAGAAACCATGGTCCCAAATGCCCAGAGCCAAGGACATGGTTCCTGTGGATTGGTACTCTGCAATCTCATGCAATTCCCCTGCCCCTGAGCGACTTTGTTTCCTGACCCAAGCTGTGGTGACCCACTGGGGATGTCACAAAGAGGCCTCTTCTCCAAGGATGAGTTGTCAGCTATTTGGAGAACCAATGTATTTCAAAGTGGCCATGGAAAATCAGAAGCATTGAAAACATGTCAGGATTTTTCAAAAAATATTTGCCAAAGGGACTGTCACTCAGCTCCTCTGATATATTAAAATGCCCAGTTTTTGTCAGTTTTAGTGTGAATTTGTACATAATTATCTTTGAGGACCTAAGCTCATAATGGTTAGGATACCTAGGTAAGTTTGGTGCTAGACTTATAAATTCTTATTAAAATATTATTATTTTTCTTTGTGTTAGGATGAAAAAGGACTTTTCTATTAGGAAAGTCTCTGCATTGTTTCTCAAGACAACAAAACATGTCGGGTTCCTTTTCTAGGGAAAATGATCCAAATTGGTTAATGCAAACACCACAACCACCTTGAGGTAATGAATCTGATGACGAACTTTCCATCAAAGGATTCTTAGAAATCTGGTCCTGACTCAGAGAGCCCCTTCTGCTCAGTAAAACTGCACGCCAGTGTCTTCTTCAATAACGCTGGTGATTCATTTATTTCTTATTATTTGTCTTTCCTAATCATAGGTATGTGAATTATCAATTACACTTAGTGGTTAATTGCCCTTCATAAAGATAGCTTTTCTATTTTAAATTAGGCAGTTAATATATTGTAACTAATAGCATCCACTTGTACATTATAAATATATCTTCATTGATTGGAGCGGTGAATGTGAGATTCACTCACAAGTTAATGAAGCAATTGAGTGAAGAAGTGCAGGGTGTACCCAGGGAATAATTATTGTTAATGAATTATGATGTGACCTTCTCAGAACAATGAACAATTGGTGTGACAGTGGGATGACAGTATTCCACATCTGTTATTCGAAACACGGTTTCAGCTGTAGTTAAAAAGCAAAGTAGTGTAATTTGGATACATAACAAACTTTAATAGTATGCCGTGGTTTAAAAAAAAATAAATCTTATTCTAAATGCAAAGCCTATCTGCATACTCTTAGGAAAAAAATCCCGTGATTCACAACTGCCTGGAAGCAGACATTTGTTGAATAAGAATCTATTCTTTCTCTTCCTAAAGGTCAACGAAATTAATCCAGGAACAACACTAACCGCCGACTTGCACGGACAAACCAGCACCCTCACGGGTCAGCTTGGTGAAAGCAAAGACTCAGTTTTACTAGACTACAAATTTAACTTCCTTCTCAAAATTTTAGATGAAGACCAGAGTTACACTTCTGAAAGGTTTGACTAAAGCTGAAGCAGCCTGGACACTTCCTGGCCTGCTTCATGCCTTTGTGGCCACCAGCAATTACCACCTCAACAAGCTCAGTAAATGCTTAGGATCAGGCAAGTTCTACAAAGACTTAGGCCAAGATGGTCAGAAGATGGGAGTCCTCCGGTGAAACATGAAAAGGACTCTCAAAAATATCCTGGAACACTAAACAAAAATCATCAGGAACTTCAAAGAACGCTTATTTCTACAAAAATAGTTGTTCAATGAAAAGCTATTTTTTCCTGAAAAGTTAGTATCTCTAAAAAGACCCTTTGCTAGCTCTCTGACAAATCCTTCTGCAGTCACACTCACTGGTAGAAGCATGATTATACACACACTGGGACGAATCCATCCCTGGATGCTCAGCATGGGGACTGTGAGTGGAGCCTGCAGGCCAGCACGCATCAGCAAACAACTATTAACTCAGAGCTTAAATAATTAGGGAGAGCTTTTGACAACAACTCTACATGAGGGAAATCCTGGCTCCACTCGCATTTACAGCAAAACTCTCCTAAAATTTCCACAGTCAGGTTTTGCACCAGGAGGAGCTAAGAGACACCCTGAAGGTCTCTGTCTAACGGAGGCAAGATGCTTTGCACAGCAAGTCTATACTGTCCCGGAGGCACTGCTGCTAAACCAACCAGCTTAACTGCAAACCTCGAGCTACTGAGCTGACCCAGCCACCTGCGTTCACATTTTAAGAAGCATGTGCAGAGCAAGCTACTGCAATTTCTACTGCCAGCAAGCACGGGGATGTTAGGAGAAGAATAAAGAACAAAATTTGTAAGGTGATGCCTTATAAGATAAAGAGCAGGGGATTAGATACCTTCAAGTACGGAAGAATGAGGCAACAGCAGATGAAATACACAACACACATTTTATCAAGATCTCCAGCGTATTACAGATTTATCAGCATCTGTATTACAGAAGCACAGGCACACCCAGGGAACCCAGTCAATCAGGTCTTCAGCTGACTTCCATACATCGTGGCTGTGATAAAGATCCCACTCAAACTCCAGAAGCACCAGAAATCAATCCTGATTAGAGCGCAAGCCGAGCACAGGGACAGGCAGCACTGCGCTCCAGGCTGCAGGGACTCTGCGTGGTCCAGGTAGCTGCAGACACCCCAAGGCCACCTCTTGCTCCCCGTTTAGGGCCATCAGCAGGCTCACCACCAGACAAATTCACTCCAACACAACTGCTCACACCAGTCCTAATAGTCCTGAGTGGGAATAGGGGAACTTGAACTTCATCTGTGTGCACAGGGAGCTTCTGACCTTTCAAGGCAGCACAAATGGCAAACTCGGCTAAAAGCATCTCTGCAGCAAAAGAAACTTGTTGGAGCCCCTCTAAGAGGGGATGGCAGAGCATGCAGGGAGCAGAGAAATACCCAAGTGCAACCTTCCAGCTGCACACTGGCAGCGCAGGCACCGGCCACCCGGGGAGCTGCCACGGCACACAGGCCCTGAAACAAAGGAACAAGTCACTAAAGAAACTTTCAAGCCCAAAATTACAAGCACTGAACTAACATGCCAACAGGTGGGTACGGAGACTTTTTCTAAGCTTTACCGGAGGAGGGGTTTAAGCCCACTCCAGACCAAAACAACTGCTCCATCGCCCAAACAATCCCTAAACCTAGAAGTGGGGCACCCATCCGGCTCTGGGCATGCCGTGAGTACACGTATAGGGGAGAGATGGAAATGAGGATTTTAATTTCAGCCCCGATCTGCCCCCCATGCTACACCAGCTCTTTGAACTGACCTTTACCTCGTTCTGCGGGAGCAGGACACGATGCTGAGTGACAATGTCCCACAATGCAATTACCGTGCGTCAGATGAGCCGGTCCCTTACAAATCACCTCGAACTTTACACATCTGCTGGCTGTCAGCATCTGCCAGGTTCACTCACCCGAAAATAATGAAAAAACTCTCATTATTGTTCCATAACAGGTAAAGTGTTAGGACAATTATTAGACATCCTGACTGACCTTGTGCAGACTTAACCAACTGCCCTTGCCAACCTTTACGGGCAGCCTTTGGGCATATAAAACACAAAAACTGTTCTTTTAGGTGATGTAAAGGTTGCAACACTGGTAGAAAAAGAAATGGCCCTGGGATCTAGGCTGGAAGCCATCACTCCTTCTTAAATTCACATTGTCCTGCACATGGCAGAAGCAACTAAGGACATGGTATAAGGCTAAACTTCAGACTTCCCATCTTTGGCCACTCTCTTTCACAGTGAAGGTTTTTCCTAACGTGGGAGCAGGAGGAGAGCCCTGCCCGCAGCCGGCAGGTCCTGTGCAGATGGGCAGCGGGCAGACAGCAAAACCCTGGACGAGGCAACAAGCCTCAGCCTGGCAACTCTCCAACACTAACTTCAAAGGGGTTTGGAATAGCGCTGGTTGTAAGAATTCCAGAGCCGGCTTTTTATCCTGCTTCAGAAGTTTGGGGTGTTTTTTTTTCTTCAATTTAAAAGGAAAAAAAGCGTCATAAGCACTTACACTATTTGACTCTCTTGCATCAGTGGACAAATATCAGTGTGCTCCAGTGTAAACTTGACAGCACTCTAATACTATCTCTGAAACATGGGGAAATAACAGTATAGGAGAGTTATCTACCTGTGACCAAACAGTAAAGTAAAACCAGGACTTGTGCAACAATGCCATCCTCCCATCTGGGCAGGGCCAACGTTTGCTTATTGCCCTCTGCCAGGGCCAGGGTGCTGGTGCTACCGGTAGAACATCTCCTGTCAAGAGGAGATGAAACCAAGCCAAGAACAAACTGAACGTAACGGTCAAAAGTACAAATGACTTGCCTACTTTCAAGGTCAAGAGAGAAGAAAGAGTTTTAAAAAAGCAGACATTTATACCACTTCTTTAGCCTGCCTGGCTGACAGAGAATCATGGCACGTGATATTTAACCAGCATCAAAAATCACACTCAAAATGACAAATTAAAAGGGGTTTTGCAACAAGAGATCAGTGCTAGTCCTCAATAGTCTGCGTAACTGTGGGTAAAACTTCACCTAGACCACAGAGCAGTGAGTGATCAGGACAAAGGGAGGTATCAAAATCTTCTGTGCTTTCAGACACTGATGACAAGGGGGTCAGGGGATGTTTTTTCATTGCCCACAAAAGCCTCCCTTGGCTGTCCCTGCCACTGCCAGGGAGTAACTCAACCTAGCAAGTCACATACTGCTCTACACAGAAGGCAAAACCCCTCTTCTAACCCGTGATGAACAAGTTACATCTTAAAGCATCAGGCTATGTTACATTTACGAATTAATGCAAATCCCTGACCTGATCTTGCAGGTTTTTCCCAGGAGAACCTCCTGGTGCTGGAGCAGCACACACACCTAAGAGGATGCAAAAGGGTTTTCCAGCTCCGCGCCGGCTGAAAGCGATAATCCCTTCTGGGGTCCAGCTGTGGAAATGCCTATGGGGGGGGAGTACAATCGCTCTGCTTTATGTGCCCTCTGCTTAAAAAGTATATTTGTGGCAATAATGTATTATCCTTTCTCCACGAATGAGCATTCATGCTATTTCAGCAGCAAACATTTTTCACCTTTAATGTCAGCTTCTGAAATAATACCGAGAAAAATGATTATTTCAAAAGTCTGAAGGAGGTCAGCCATAAAAGCCTGCGTCCATCCTTAGTTCATCTGGCCAGTTTTTACAGCACAAGCCTCTCCCAATTCCACGGAAACACTAAACTTCCCAGTGTTTTGCTCGGCAGGTGTGATGAGATCAGAGGACTGTGAGTGAAACCCCACACACCCCCCTGTGACACAGCGACCTTGGCTTGCTTTCTGGTTGTTCCTTCTCTATCCTCGTGTCCAAACCTTTCCATTCCTCTGATTTCTATCATCCTCGCAATACCTTCAAACTGCTTAAATCTTGCTGTCACATCTCCGATGCTACTTCCGTCCCCTGATCTCCTGATGTTTTCATTCACTGATGTCCTGTCATTGGTCCCGTGTACACTTGAGCTCATTAAAGCTCCCGTTCTCCAGTGGTCCAGCTTTCTGCTCCATATAGCAAGGCTGGCCCGACAAATCCTTACGTACAGCACTTTTTGGCCCCTCTCCCCCTTGCATTCTTGTGTCTGAAACTCATCTCTACATCTGCTATCTCACGAGCACAATTTCCTCTCCAGACCCATATGGCTCACCTCTCTCTATATATAGAAGTGGATAATTTGGAGGGAATCCAAAGGAAGGATTGCAAAAGGGATTAAAAAATAGGAGGGCATTACCTTTGAACAGGAATGAATGCAGATTAATAGGCACATATGAAGGAGGCAGAAGAAAAGAGGCCAATGTTATTTAAGGGTGGGCGAGGGTGAAATAAGAAAGGGTACTGTTATAAAGGCTCTGGAAAAACACCACTTTGAGCCACTTTTTTGACAGCAAAAACTGAAAAATCACTAAATGGTAGTTCAATGTAAACCTTAAAAACCTACCAACACCTTTATTTAGGTACTCCAATCCCGTGGATTTTTTCAGAGGTAGACATAAATACTGGAACACGTACATCAAAACAAACACAAGGTCCATCTTGTCCTGAATTCCCTACAAAGGCGGCCTCTCTCTGACCACCGAATACAGCTGGATACCAGAATTACTGAACAAATTATCTGATACCATAAATCATGTTCCACCTGCCTGAACAAAAGGGTAGACATCAGATTTGCCTACAGATTTGTAGACAATATGCGACAACAGTGAAATCTATACTGAAGTATTTAATAAAAATAATACATACTTTTGAAGTGAATCTGCAGAAATGAAGCACAAAGTAGAATAGAAGATAAATCTTTCTGGTCCATTACGTTCAGTAACAAGATGTATTTAATTGCTGCAGATTACCAAATTAGCTTAAAGCATTACACCTAGCAGTCCGAGACTTTAACCACACTTCAGGTTCTGAATCAGGGCTTCTCACCTTGTCTTGTAGTGGCTGGCTGTTTGCTACAGCGCAGCAACACACCACTTGCAATTCATACATATGGGTGTATTTTGTAACAAAAGTAAAGTCTGGTAGGCTTTAAATACTTGGTAACACTCAAGAAAAAAATCTGAAGTTTGGGGATTCACTTAGTATGAACAGGTCGGAAATATATTTATTTGCATTAAGCAAAACATTTTTATGGACAATATAATGAATCACACTCCAGTAGCTTTCATTCTGTGCTAAAGGCATTTGGGTAGTTCTGCCTCTGAAGCTACTAATCATTCCATTAAAATTTCAGACAAATCCAAGTTATCTTTGTCACGGTCAAATTCTTACCTTGCCTACAAGCAGCACCTGTTTATAAGTAATGAATTCGATTACTCAGAGAAATAAATTGCCAAAATTTCATTTAGCCCATTTTATAGAGAAAGAATTCACTCTCGCATGCTCTGCTTACCTACTTTTGATAGTAACATACTATTTCACTGCAATAGCTCAAAGACCAAGAAGCATTCCGACAAACTTAGTGTGATTTTAACCTGGAAGCAATCAACAACCAATTCCAGCACATCACTTGCAAAGACAGCAGAGAATCTGAACGGCAGTACTGCTGAGGACAGGCAAAGAATTGGGCTCGATTCTAAGATTGCAGACTGAGTTCACCAAACATGAAAGATGGGGAAAAAAATTACTACTGTGGTAGCAACCTAAGACAAGTTTCAAGTTCTAAAGCACAGAACGAGGCAGAGTGCTGCTCATCCACTTCAGGGATTAATCCGTGTCTATACAACATGTACTGTCAGGTAGTAGGTATCACTGTAGAATCTTCTATTATTTATTGGTAGATATTTGTACTGCACATAATTGTGCCGACGGACAGTAAGTAGCTCAAGACCCTAAAGGTTAATGATGTTTAAGTTCCACAAGTGCAAGCACTTACTCATGAGATGTCTGTAGACAGCATTTGGGAGTACCCACAACTTCAGGAACACAGAACTTTTTTTAAAAAAAATTAACATTGCTGATTAGGAGAGCAAATATGGGTTAGGAAGGTCCACTGCTCTCAGAACACTGAGGTCATAGCCAACGTTACAGACTAGAGTGGAGCTGTGACAGCTCTGCACCCACTGAGGACCAACTCCGGAATCTCTTCCTGGCTCTGTCAGAAAACAGCTACATGACAACACAGAACTGCTTCATTTTTTTGTGTCTGCTGCTTCAGAAAGGGCAGGTGACACCTACCCTTCTTTGAGATACATGGATAAAAACTGCAAAGAGAGTTAAGTGCAAAGACAAACAAACGGATATTTCACACAAGAGTTTGTGTAGTTTATCTGAAAGTCTCTTTCTAGGAGGAACAACTCCTTCGCTATCCCATGTCCTGAAAGCATAGCAAGCCGTGAAACTTTAAACATCTGCAGACTGTGCTGAGCCACGCTTCGGTTATCTTTTGTGACAACAAAGATTTTCTACTTGCTGCGCACACACTTTCAGATGGCTCTTTGTAAACTCACAACCATCCTACCTGAACCCCCACATGCTGAATTGCTTTACGGTTCCAGTTCCGCTTGTTCTCCTCGCAATCTTCTCCTTGTTAGACTCTCTAGGTATTTTATTCTAACACGACTGTCCAGCTGCTCCCCAGCCTCCCTGCTCCCCAGATTTCCGTTGCTCTTTTAAAGGCCTCTGTAGAAAGTTGTGCTAACAGATGCACTATACTGGTCAAACAACAGGATGTTGTAAATGTCCAACTACTGTGTGCTTTTCATATGGATATGCTAATGGGAGCACTATCAGCACACAGCTGTAAATGCAAATAACAGAGCACAGGCTGAGCATCTTTTATGGATGTTTAACCACCTTCTGTCTTGTAAGAGACCAGCTCCCTGCTATTTGTAAGATAAAAAGTGAATGGCTCACCTTGTGTCAATGCCATGTAAATCAATTAAGACAATAAGAGCAGAGTACAGAGGCACTGTTAAGGCTGGCTCCAGAAGGAGCCTTTAAATCACCGATGGGCTTTCTGATCTGCTCCACAGCGTCTGCCAGTTAACTGCACACACTCGGGAGAGATGTGCTTTATTTAATTGTTATAAGGATTTAAAAAAAAAACAATTACAAAAGTATGCCACAGTAAACCGAACAATCAAGAAACATTATGGGTTCAAAGTTTTAAAGGACCAAATTATCTTAGCAAGCTGCTTTTAGATTTTCTAATCACCTACCACCCCAATAACCCCACCTAAATTTAACAGCAGTCCCTGGTGGATTTAATGACATTCCTGGCACCCTGGCTTCTGGGTTTAACCAGGAGTACCGATGCCTTTAGGCACATGGGTGCCTATCTGCCACAGGTAGGGTGAGGAACAAGAGGGATCTGGATTCACCTTATCATTACTTGAACACAGAAGGAGGTCTGCTCTGTACAACAAACACTGCTCCGGTTTATATCCTTTTGGCCTCCAATTCACCAATTCCCTTTCAGTGCATACTGATTCCTAAGGTATTTCACAGGCAAAATTTACCAGAGGTGCAGGTACATTAGCAATAAATAAAGCATTCCCAGTAGTAACACTTAGTGTTTCACTGCAAGTTATACCAGCTTGGATAAAGACTACTG